ATACAAACATATATATTTTTATTTATGTACCGAAGATAAATTTAAGGAATTTAGGGAATAAAATATTTAATTAGGGCAAATCACTCGACAGCTATCTGCAAAAGAAGAGGGATGTCTTCGTGGAGGACTTTCTAAGGAAAACTGGTTCATATACACACCACATATCGGGAAAACCATGAAAACGCCTGAGCAGCCAGCTCGTTCGCCAGCCTTCGAATCTCGGACCAAACTGCCAGTGTTCAGCGACACAGTATCAAACCGCTCCAGCTCAGCCGCTGCTGGACCTGAGGAGTAAGAAAAAGAGACTTGGTTGTTCCCGTTTATTCTCAAATTTAGCCTCACTTGGAGAGTTTTCTCTGAAAACTTAGAAAATGTTCCTGGTTTGTTTATTTTTAGTTTAACATAAAGTAAATTATAATCAAACACATTAAAATTATTCAAATAAATATCAGTCTGAAAACTGAATACTTAACTGACAATATTACAAACTGTAATCAATAAAAATGTCTTGTAGGTACCAAACTTTAAATTTCAGATAGGAAATAAATATTAAATTTGATTTTTCTTTTATATTGTTACGTTATTTTTTCTTACACCAGTTGTTGCGTTATTTGCTTCCTTCAGGTTCGTACGGGGTTCGTGTGGATTTGGAGTGAATAACGACGACAGCACTTGATGGAATATCGAAAAACACTTTATTTACCAATATTAACCAGGACGCCTCCAAAGCACGTTTTACAGTCGTCGAAGATCTGCTATAAACTCGTTAGAACAATCAGCGACACAGCTTTCACACTGTCAGGCAATAACGGTGGAGACAGCTTCACTGCAAAGCACCAGAGTACAGCTCCCGACTCTGCTCTGTCGACTCTCCACACTACAACTCGCTATGCACTCGACGACACACAGAGCATAGCTCCCGACTCTTCGGTTCAGTTGTTTCCTGAGCTTAACACACTCTTTCGACGATGCACTAACCGCGATACACTAAGAGACTCTTCGATGCACTCGATGACCAACTCGGCGCTAGACTTCGAGACACTTGCTCAATGACTGACTATCATCTCGCTAGACGAGGCACACTGTAACTGACTGAGAACCAGGGGGCAGGGTTTACATAGCTTTCGGTTTGTGTTCGAGAACATTCTGGGCTGAACCGGTAAGAATTCGTTCCAGAAGGTTCTCCAACCGTCCATGGTATAACACCAATTTTGTCGCAAATGGGCGATTTTTCGCCAAATGAGCCAACCCTGCCATTTTCTTGCTATTTTATGGCAACCCTAAACGTGCTTTACTGGAAAGTTTTGCGGGGAAGCTTCTCACCGCGCCTGTACATTTCGTAACAATATTATTATTATCCCTGTTTATGCAGCTTTTTGATAAATATTTTACATATTAAATTAAAACTTTAGCAAAAATATTTCCTATTTTGTTGATGAAAATGTTCATTTTGTTAAAAAAAAAAAGAATCTGGAGCTTCGGCCATTTTTAGATCGTGCATTAATTCCGCATGCAATTTGAGTTGATTTAAAAGATATTTTGTTGTCAATGATAAATTGCCTTAATTTGATAAAAGGATAAAATTTATATTTCAACAATGCATAAAAACCGTTTTCCTATATAAAACACTTTTTCTGCTTAAAGACACTTTCTGAATATAGTACTTAGGAATTATTTTATGTTCATATCGACATTAAGACGTTTTTGTAATCAGAAATAAGTATGTTTGATAGTGTTGGTTAAGTTAGAAAGTAGTGCTGTTAGAGAAGTAGTATATTAAAATTACCTTTCATGTTTATTTATGCTTTCAAAATTAAGCGCTGGTGATTTTTATCGGTGGTCTTCTTCGGTAGGTGGTCGCCACAAGAGAGTTCATTTAACTTGTTTAAGAAAGACTACTACATGTGTACTTGTCGAATTCATAAGCTTTGCATAAAGAATAACTCTTTCAAGTTTTTATTGCAGAGTTTTGAAAAGAACGATAACATTAATTAACACTAAAATCGAACGGTGGTACTTCACTTGCTTTAGTATCCTCTAGCGGCAGTTTCTTTGCTAAGATATTACATAATATTACATTTAGCAAATTTCAAATTTTAAATATATCTTTATGCTTAAATGCTCTATTAAAATTCCGCCAACACCCCTCATACATTTCTCCACTAGATGTCAGCACTCTCCATCTGCCTTTGCACCGTAAATGGTCTTACCAGGTGAGTACTCCCTAGAGAGTTTTCGAACAGCAATGTAAAATGCAAGCGCGCTTCTTTTCCTCCTCAGGCTAATCGTTTTCAAACAACAACTCTTTTAAATTTTATGATTTTTGTTTTTCTCTTTCGTTATGAACGCTGATTTATTTGGAACTTCGTCGAGGAGAGATTTCTCAATGATTATTTACTCGACGATTAAGTGCGAAAAATACAGTCGTCTTTCGGTATAATTATTTACGTCGTAATTCTCGGAATTTATCGCTTAGTTAGTTTGATAAAAGAGAAGGAGAACGAGGCTAAATGTTTCTGTTGATTACAGTAATCAGAAGTGGTTGTTTCAATGCATTAAGGGACAAACAAATAAAATAAATGAATTGTGGAAGATAAGAATTCAGAGAACGCGAAAGCAGCACATTCCAGTTTCTTTATTATTTGGAATATTATATAATCTTTGCTATCTCGTGTGATGCTTAGAAATAAAATGGGATCGTTTACAATTGAAAAACTCACAACGTTTATTTATAAAACGCTAACGGAAAAATATTAATAAAAAGAAAAAATAATAAGTATTTTTCTCACATATTCTCGCAAAAATGGCAGTTTCTAATAAATGACAGGGAAGAAATTTAGAGTTATTATCAAGCATATATTTTGCATTTCACTAAGAAATATATATATATATGCATTTTTAGGGAAGATAAATGTATGTTTTGAAATACTTTGAGAAAGTTGCTTTTTTCGCAATTCCATATAAACATTGCATTTGTAGATATTTAACTTAAAATACATTTAATTTAATACATTTATACGTAGTTACATCAAGCGAATTACTCTCTATAGCTTTTATTTGTTTAATCTATATTCTTTTCTTTCCATACATTTAACTGCCCACCAGCGGCCGAGCGGTAAAGACGCTGAACACTGGTAGTTCGGTCAGAGGTTCGAATCCCGTGAATGGACTGGCTGCATGGGCGTTTTCGTGGTTTTCCCCATGTGTAACGTGTGTACGAGCCAGTTTCCCTTTGAAAGTCCTCCACGAAGGCACCCCTCCCTTTAGGCAGATAGCCCTCGTGTGCTTTGCCATAATTGAATAATCCCAATCCCATACATTTAACTTCTCTTAAAGCAACTAAATGTTATTACAAAATATTCTTTCCAATTGGAGGAAACCGATAATATCCATTGCGTTGTATGTAAAGTTAATAATTAAACTATTTTCTAAGAAATAATATCTACTGTTTAGTTAAACAGTGAAAAGCAATCCAGGATTCTTCAAAATTGTTACAATCCTTTGAATGTTTTAAATTCATCTTTATTTTCGTTCGAAAATATTCTTCCCATTAATGTGACCTTATTTGTTATTTATTAGAAAAAAATGCACATGCGTAGAATTTTATTTTTGACATGTAACTTAGAAAATCATACACACAAGGGTTTAATACACACATGCACAATATAATTAAATACAAGGACTTAATATACTACCGACATCTTGAATCAATCTGTGTCAACTCAACTTCCGAGGAAAGTATTGAATTTTCTTTTAGAAACTAGTTATGAAAATTTTTAACATGCATCAAATTGGAATTAAAAATAACATTTTTACATTACAACAGATGCATAGAGGCATCTGTTGTAAATTTACCCTTAATTAGCATACCCCTAGATAATAAAGATACAACTTGTTTAAAAAATATACTTTTTCGGAGTGTATGCATATTAAAAGCGAAACACAGTATCACATTTACTAAACGTATTCATGTGTTATTGCTATTGTATTGTAACTTATCTCACTTGTCTGACAGTAACATCAGAACAAGCCCACGAAATTAATCGTGGCAAAGAGTGCACGATTGCGTTGTCGCAATCTTGCACTTGAACTGTCGTTGACCTTGCGCACCATACAAGATGCCAGACAGAATTCCCAGCCTAGTATAGATATAAGCATGAGTTACAGAAATAACGAACTCCGGAGACCATCCAAGCGGTCGCAGCCCCCGCGGTTCCTTCCGGGCTTTATACAAAGTCTAGGAATAATTCAACGCTCAGAGAAGAATGTTCGGAGACAACTTTGCTCGGGCACCGCTCCAGGAGCAACAAAAATATTCAAAAGGGGGCCCTGTACTCTGTCAATCCCCGAAACAGAGGACCGAATGAAGCCAGATCCCCAAAGATATTCAATATCTAACTATGCTGGGACCCCACAGCCAAGAGGAAGACAAAACAGTACATGGTCCCTGCCAAGCCTGAATCTACCACCGTATAAACGATGGCTCTAGTCACTTTGAAGACTGATTATGTATCCCTGTGGGCAAAACTGCCTAAGTACAGAGCCTGGCCTTACCTTCCCAGGAATTATCCTGATGTTACAACTCGAACGCGAAATGAGCGAAAGTTTCTCTTCTGCCAGTAGCAACGAAGAGTCGAAAAACGAACTTGGAAGAGAGCGGTCGCTAACTCGATTTCTCTCGATAGAATTTGATACGAAGGGGGGATAATCCCGATCTTTTGATTTTAAATTAATCTCGAATTATGTATATATTGTAATATAAAAGATGTGTGTAAATAAAAGTCATTAAGACTTAATTGAAGTAGTGATTTGAATCGAATATACAAATCGAAAGCTTAGTAAGCGAAAGACATATTTTAGTCGTGCCCTCACCAAGGGACTTTTGGATTAGAATTTCGAAGATTAGCAGATAGATTACCTGTAAACAGGTAAGCAATTCCTTTTTCTTTGAAAATTTGGAAAAAACTGAGTTTCAATATTGTGATTAATCAATTTTAAACATGGAAGCTTTAGACAAACTGAAGCAGAAACGTACGAATGAACGCAGTAGCATTACGAAATTAATTACAAAAATAGAATCTTTGTTATCAGAAAATATCGAAACCACAAACATTGAGGAATTGCAGGAGATGAATGAAACTATTCTCGAAAGAGAAAACACGTTAAAAATGTTGAATTCACAAATCGAAACTCAGTTAAAAGATGCTAAAGAATTTGAAAAAGACATTTCTGCAAGTGATAAATACAATGAACAAATTATGTCTGCAACGTTTACAATTAAAATAAAGATTGAATAAATGTAATGAAAATTTGTCTGTGAAAAATGCATCAGATGCAAATCCTTTGAACACTTCTGTTTCTGAAATAAATGTATCGTCATCGGCTATGAAATTGCAAAAGTTAAATATTCCAAAATTCTCAGGAGATACAGGAAAATGGTTAGAATTTTTTAACAGTTTTCAAGCCGCGATTGATCAGAACAAAGCGTTAAGAAAGCGTTAAGAAAGATTGAAAAATTCGTATACTTGAAATCATTATCGATAGGGCAAGCATATAATGTCTTTGAAGGATTTCAGTTAACCGAACAAAATTACGATTCGTGTTTAGAACTTTTAAAAGAACGCTTTGGAAAACCAGAGAAAATTATAAAATCACATATGAATAATCTTTTGGACATAGAACCAGTTAAAAATTCTTCTAACTTTAAGAAGATTACACGACGCTTGTGAAATAAAATATTCGAAGCTTAAGTAATTTAGGGAGTAACTTCAGGTTCCTACGGACACTTGTTAAATCCGATATTATTGAAATTATTGCCTCATGATTTGATTCTCGAATATCACCGAAAGCGTGATCCAAAAGAGGAATCTGATGTTACAGGTTTAACTGCTTTTTTGAAAAAACGAAATTGAATGCCGCGAACAAACGTACGCACTTAACAAACCGGAACCGAAATTCAGTTCCATTGAATGGAAAGAATAAACACTTCGAATAAACACAAAAGTAATTTATAAATACACAAACAATAAGTTTAACTCTAAAATTAACCCATTCGTCGGCGGCAGAATTAATTAGCTCCTGTAAAAGAAGAAAAAGTGTATTTTTTTTTTTTTTTTTTTGCAAAAATAACACACATAATAGTGAAAAGTGTAATATGAGTGTAAATGAAAAACGAAATGTTCTAAGGTTACAAGGGCGATGCTATGTTTGTCTGGCTCAAGGTCGTCGATTTTCCGATTGTTCTGAGAAACAGTCTTGTGTATATTGCCACAAAAAACATAATGCAACCCTTTGTTACAAAAATGAGAAAAAACCCGAAGCATCGCAGTCAAAAGGTGTAGAAAATTCAGCGTGCAATCACATTAGCATCGGTAGGAATAAAATATTTTTACAAACGGCGACAGTAGAACTTAAAAAGTAGGTCACGCAATAAATTAGTTTCGTTGTTTATTTGACAGCGCTAGTCAACGCTCGTATATTCAGAAGCACGTCCTGTCTAAACAACTGGGATTAAAAGTTCGTGGGAAAAGGGAAGAAATAATGATTCATACTTTCGGATCTCAAGTTGCCTACCAAACAGAACTGTGCGCGAGTAGAAAGTAAAAATTAAAAAAACATTTTTCGATCACCAGGAATCAATTATTCAGGTTATAGAGACTCATGAAATATCGAATGCTGAGCTAGACTATCCTCCGGAAAATATTCGGGAGTTGTTAAAAGATAGGGGAATAATTTTAGTGGATGTTGATCACGAATCTTTAGATAACAACAACGTATCTTTACTCATTGGAGCTGATAATTATTGGAAATTAGTAAAAGACAAAATTGAACGTTTGAATTCAACATTAGTTACAATGGAAACCCAAATGGGTTGGATTTTAATGGGAAAATTATCTGATCATATCGACGATAAGGAAAATGTGACTAATGCCGTCGCAATGACTTCTTTATTAATTCACACATCGAAGATTGAAAATTTGTGGAAATTAGATTTATTGGGTATTCGAGACCCTGTTGAAACAAAATGTAGAAAGGAAATGGAAATTGCCGCATTGAATCATTTTAACGGAACTGTTACCTTTAAAGAGGGAAGATATGAAATTCAGTTGCCTTGGGTAACAGAAAAGGACTGTTTACGTCAAAATTTCGATATTGCTAGACAGCGTTTAAACAGTGCGACACACCGGTTGATACAAAAGAGCAAATTCGAGGATTACGAAAATGTTTTAACAGATTGGTTAAATGAAGGAATTATAGAAGTCCTTGAACACGAAATGAATAATCAGTGTCACTATTTACCACATAAAGGAATATTCAAAGAAACTTCGACCATGAAATTGCGACCGGTTTTTGATGCTTCCTGTAAAGACAAAAATTCGCGCTCACTTAATGATTGCCTAGAAAAGGGTCCAAATTTGCTGAAAAAAATTATTCCTATAATTTTAAGATTTCGCAAGAATAGAATAGGAGTTGTTTCAGACATAAGAAAGGCATTTTTGCAAATGTCGGTGAATAAGAGCGATCGAGATTTCTTACGATTTTTATGGTGGAAAGACTTTGACAAGGACGAATTTCGAGTTTTTAGATATAAACGCGTTGTTTTTGGATTGAATTGCAGTCTCTTTTTATTGGCTGCTGTATTAAGCCATCACATTGATCTAAATTCATCTAAATATTCTGAAACAGCAGAAAATTTAAAAAAATCATTCTACGTAGATAATTGCACTACATCTGTTCCTGATGAAGATACACTTACGCGATTCATCGAGGAATCGAAACAGATATTAGATTCTGCGTCATTCGATTTGAGAGGGTGGGAGCACACTTCTCTTTTGAAATCTGAAGACAGTATAGAACCTACTCCTGTATTGGGAATTTTGTGGGATAAGAAAGATGATAGCCGTCTCTGTGAGGTGAAGACTGCTACTGACAAACCAGTAAATCTTACTAGAAGAAATATATTGTCTGCGGTACATCGCATTTTCGACTCCATGGGTTTTCTCTGCCCTATAACGCCAACACCTAAACTACTCATACAAAAGACATGGTTGTTAAAAATTGGTTGGGATACAAATATACCCGAAGACTTAGGAAAAGAGTTCTATTCGTGGATTGATGATTTGTCATTTTTTATCCAGTATTAGAATTCCAAGGGCTTTAAATATACGTGGGAATGAAAGTCTTAGTCTTCATACGTTCTGTAAAGCAAGTAAACAAGCCTATGGATGTGTGATTTATTTAAGAAAAGAAACAAGTGAAAATGTATCGGTGTATTTTCTTCTAGCTAAAAGTAGAGTGAGTCCCTTAAGAAAAATGACCATAAATCGTCTAGAATAAATAGCCTGCTATATAGGAGTCAGACTCGCAGCTCTTGCTTTACAAACACTAAAATTAGACAACGTTCCAAGGAACTATTGGACAGATTCGAGTACTGCTCTTTCTTGGATCCAAAGAGATGACCATTGGGCGCCATTTGTCGCAATAGAGTAAAAGAGATACGAAAATTGTCATCGGAATCTGAATGGCGTCACATTCCAGGAAATTCGAATCCAGCAGATATACCATCACGAGGGTGTTCGATTAAAAGTTTTGTGAAATCTCGCTGGTGGCGAGGGCCAGAATGGCTTATGAAGAACGATGAAGAGTGGCCAACTAGTGAAGTGATTACTAGCGAAGAAGAAATTATGAAAGAAAAGCGAAAGAACATTATTTCGACTTTGGCTAATATCACCGCTGAAAAATGGTATCTGATTTACTTTTCAAGTTACTTTAAAATTGTGAGAATGATTTGTTGGATTCTAAGATTCATAAATAATTGTAGACATTGAAGAAGAAATTATGGCAAAACCCTGAGTGTTGAAGAATTGGACATTGCTGAGAAGAAATTAGTGAAGATCGTTCAACAAGAAGCATTTTTTATCGAAGAACAGTTGAAGGGACATTTTACTTTCAGAGATGAAGAAGGGATTATAAGATTGAAAACGAAGATTTTGAGAAGACATGATGATGAAAACTTCCGGTGCCCCATTGTACTTCCATCCAAACATGAATTAGCAGAAAGAATGATACAAGACTACCATTTACAACTTTTACTCAAGTTCTTTTGACCAATATTCGCCAAAAATTTTGGATAATAAAAGGAAGAAAGACAGTACAAGGAGTCATATCGAAGTGCATTCGGTGCAAGAGTCACTCGGCTCTTGATACAGTGCCTTGTCCTCTCCCAGAAGATCGAGTCACAGATGCTTATGCATTTGAGGTGACAGGTATTGATGTAGCAGAACCACTGTATTTGAAACAAAAGCTTGGATCTTGCTTTTTACTTGTGGAGTTTATCGTGCGGTTCATTTACAATTAATTGAAAGCTTATCGACTAATGGATTTTTTCTCGGATTTAGAAGATTCATAGCACGAAGAGGACGGCCTAGAGTAGTATACAGCGATAATGGCACAAATTATGTGGGGCAAGGGATTTGCTCATCTGTTGACTGGAACCAAATTATCAGAAGTTCTTCGATAATCAAAATTCAGTGGAAGTTAAATCCACCAACCACAGCATGGTGGAGTGGCTGGTAGGAGAGACTGGTTCAGATGATCAAGAAATTATTGAGAAGAGTCCTGGGAAAAGCATTACTTTCATATGAAGAAATGTTAACTATCCTATGTAATGCAGAAGCAAATATCAACTCCAGACCATTAACATACGAGTCAGAAGATACCATCGATTTACGTGCCGTCACTCCATCTATGCTTATTCAGGATGTGCGAACTGGAGGTGTTTCGGATCTGGGCAGTTTGGATAAAATCAACTTATCGAAAAGATGGCGATACCACCAAAATTTACGTGTAGAATTTCGTAAAAGATTTAGAGAAGAATATCTTGGCATGTTAGTACATCGACCAAAGACTGTACCTTCGTGAACCATCAAGAAAGGTTATTTAGTGTTTGTAGAGGACGATAAAAGGAAACGAACAGACTGGCCTATGGGTCGTGTGATCGAAACATACCCAGGAAAAGACAACAAATATCAGAGTGGTGAAAGTAAAAACATCTAGTGGTGAACTATTAAGACCAGTTCAAAGAGTATTTCCAATGGAGATAGACAATAAAGAATCTATCTTTGAACTTAAAACTACTGAATCATCCACATCTTCGAGAAATACTGGTAAAAGGAATGATTTAGTAATTGATACCAAAGACTGTGAACTTGAAAATTCTGATAAAAACATTCAGTTTAGTAGATATAGCAGAAACATTGTGAAACCAAAGAACTTTAATTAGTTTAATTTTGTTTTCAGTACCACTATTATTTGTTTTCTTTATTCCTTTCTTTGAATTTAATTTTTGTATACAATTTGGTTTTCCAGTTTAGTGAATTAATCTCTTTACTAGTATTTTTCAGAAAAGAATTTTTTTGCCTGTTGCTTAAAGAATGTAAGTTTGCAGAATATTAAGTAAGTTTAAAATATTCAAGATATTTGTTTTGCATAGATAAAATTGGTGATTTTGGTAAGATTTAAATTACTCATCTTATATTCGTATTTCAATTTTCATTTCACAATTGTTTTGATTTTTTCATACTTTGTCAAAAATCAAAAGGTGGGAGGAATGTTACAACTCGAACGCGAAATGAGCGAACGTTTCTCTTCTGCCAGTGGCAACGAGGAGTCGAAAAACGAACTTGGAAGAGAGCAGTCGCTCACTCGATTTCTCTCGATAGAATTTGATGCGAAGGGGGGATAATCTCGATCTTTTGATTTGAAGCAACAAAAAAGGAAATATCCTTTCCATCGAGTGCCCATATGTCCATACAACGAAAGTGCAGCGGTCTGTGAAAAGGTTGTCTCACATCAACTTGTTTCAGACCTTTGTTTTTTTTTATCCTGGATATGTTTAATTAATTACATCCTGGATATGTTTTTCACAGATGACGCATGCTTTTATCTAGATCAATGTGGACTTAAGACTTATGTACTGCACCGTGTCACCATTATAGAACTCACTTTTTTAAAACCGTAGAGAATACTATATATTATCGAATTTTTTTTAATTATTTGCACGGAAATGAATAATAATGTGGTTTTGCCTTTTAGGAAATATGAGGGAACAACCATGGCAGTTATAACGTTTCTTCGATCATCGCATTATCTCACCACAGGCCATCATGACCAATGCGTTTCTCGCAGTTTCTTTGTTATGTCATTGTATGTAGTGACATGTAAAAACTTCTAAAACTGAATTCACCGACATCATTTTGGTAAGATTTTTACAAAATTTAGTCAGTAAAAATATAAAGGTAGGGTAAAGAAATGCATTCGTCATCTCAGAGTAATTCTCTTATTATCAGACAATTAAATTATTAATTAACTAGTAGTCACGTTGCCAAAATTAAAAATTCATTCCCCCCAGCTTCCGTATTTCTCCTCGCCGGGAACAAGTTAGTCCCCGGCGAGGGCATTGCTAATTCCGCCCAACCGGGATATCGGTTAACGACGTCTAGTGCCGTACCGAAGGGCTCGGTTTCGAATATCTGTGTGGCATGGGGACTCTAACTATGCGGCAAGCCGAAAATCCTCTCGACAAGTTGGTGGTAGGGGGAGAGGGGTGGGACTCGGACATTGGACTCGTCCCCTGGGGTGCTTTCTATCATAACTGGGGGCGGAATTGAGAAAAGTCGTACTGTCACCCGTGTAGAGTGCTCAAGGTTCTTGTCAACGAAAGGCGCAATCTTTCACTCCTTGCCACGATATTGAAGATGTAACCTTCCCACCTCCTAATGACAGCTTCGCAATTTACACAAGCGGTTCGAGAATGTATCAGGAACCAGCAGTGGGCTTTGCGTACTTAAAGCAAATGAGATACTCTACAGCTGGAGAAGAAGACTTGGAGAAAATAATTCAATCTTCCAAGCTGAACTGGCAGCGCTTAGAAAAGGGATATACCTTTCACACGCTTTCCAGAGTCAAGTTTTCATCTATAGCGACTCAAAATCCAGCCTAAAGGCCGTTGCTGGCCCACCAAGCACAAACACCCTATTGCACGAAATCAGGAAGCTACTACTGCATATAGCACCTAACTTATCCTGGATATCTGCTCACTGGCATCGCACGGAATGAGCATGCAGATACCAAGGCTAAGGAAGCCGCTACCGGCCGCCATCTACCAAAGTACAACCTGCCGCTCCCTGACTCCTATCTCAAAAGAATAACTTAGCAGGCCTTAATATCGCAATGGCAATACCGCTGGAACACTTCAAGCACGGGACGCAGGACATTTATGTTTCTCCCAAGCGTCTCCACAAATATATTGTCTCACTCTTCAGCACTAACGACATTCCTCACAGGACACGCTCCTTTCCCAGCCTATCTCCACAGCTTTGGACTTAGGGATAGTGATCAACGTGAATGTGGCCTACAAGGTACACCGGATCACTACGAATTTCTATGGGAATCAACCAGACCGTTTCATATCAAACAACCAGCAGAGCGACACAAACACGAATGGACTCAACACCTCTTGCAGCATAGTGGAACGCATCGTAGACTATCTAATATAACCCACAAGTGCAAGGAAAAATACTCTACAAGATAGTTGCCAGATGTTACCGCCAGCAAAAACAACTAGCAAGGTTTCAGCATTGGGCTTAGAGTGACCAAACACCAAGATGTCAATGCAAATAATAATCTGTAATGTAATTTGTAAGGTTTATGTAATGAATTGTATGATCTACAGTATAGTATTCTAACATAATATAGGTATTGTAAGGTTAGGTATTGTGAAAGTAAATGAAACACTATGGTACTCTGCAATGTATTCTATGTATTATTATATACTAAGTAGTGTATTTCATGTAATACCATGTATACAATTTAGAATAATATAAGTATGGCATAATGTACCTTTTCAAACACAGCATAGGTATCGACAGGAAACGTAACGTGAAATGTGAATGAAATCCAGACTACGCAGTAAACTGAAATGTACCAAATACTGTGTAATGAATTCCTTGCAATTCCATGCATTCCATGTTTGAATGTAATTTCATGATTAAATGTACTGAATAATATAATGTGTGATTTAATGTAACATATTTGTATTGAAAGGTAAGGCAAGATGGAAAGTAAATGATTTATGTGGAGGTAG